ACCTTCCAAACTAAGATATACCATCTTTGAACAATAGAGTGGCTTTATCTTTCCACACATAACTCTTTTAAACTTCAATAATCGCCAATAAAGATCTCCAGATGAATTGTTATTATATGTGTTTCCTTGACAATCTATGAAAAAATCAATATCTCGCCATAGAATAGGAGCACCGCAGTGATACCAAAGGTGGTTGACGAATAAAGCGGGATAGAGGGATTGATCGATTTTTAAAAAATATAAGATCTGTTCTAGCAATTCTGGTAAATCAAAAATATTTAGACCCTTTGGGTCATTACTCCCTAATAGTTGCGCCATTTTCAAGTAATGTATTATTATATATATTTAATCGAAAAAAATAACCAATATTCGGATAAATAATTTTAGGCAGATATACTATGCATTCTCCGGATATTCTCAATTGCACATAAGCTCGCAACTAGTTCCATCATATAGGTCAATGATATCTGATACTTCGTCATATCCTTGTTTTAATATTTGCTTGCGTACGTATTTATTTTCTATATATTTATTTTCTATTAATCAAAAAATAGATATATTTATTACAATAAGTAGAACGATTTATTTTATTTTATTCTTCCGGAATTTCACAATCTCCATATAAATATGTCGTTTCCATATCTTGTGCTATCCACAATTTTGTATCTAATGGGTTAACACTTCTCTTTGTTTGCGATATCCTATACATTCGATGTCTGTAACTTCGGAGGAATTGAGCAGTTCGTGGTTGATCTTCTTTCCCTTCTAAAACACAGTCCTCGAATATTTTATGTGTAAGCTCTTTCTTGATAAGAGACTTTTTAAGACCTTAGCCTTGATCATATTTTTTCGTGAATTTTCACACACAACGCTATAACATTTTGCACGAACTCCTGCATAGCCAATAGCTCTATCTCCTCCATTTTCATCCTTCCATTTACCTATTACTTTAGTATTTTTTAATACACGCTTACCTTCTTCATTAATTATCCATTGATCTTCTGGAAGATTTTTTACCACCCAATGCTCTTTGGGATAATCACTAAAATCAAATAAATCACAATCGTTTATCATGTCTTGATAAATATTTTCGGTCTCAATTTCTATGATTAATGAATCTGTATCAGTATATAGGAGTTTTACTTTATCCCCGTATTTCTTTTTGAGATAACTATACCAAAAGTCATACATATAATATTTAGAAAGATCGAGAATACATGATCCTACATATTCCGGCTTATTTAGTTTTACATTAGTCTGCCTTCGGTGTACAGCTACTAAGTTCGCCCCATAGAAAATTTTCCTACTAACAAATGCAGGATCTGAAATTAGTCTTCGTAGTCTGTGTTCTTCACCTACCTGACGAACCAAATCTATATTCACTCGCTTTCTCACATCCTCCATAGTTTTTCCAAATACTGAATTATTCATCAATTTCCAGAAGTCTTTTTCGAAAGCATTTTTTGCTTTTGCTCGTCGTTGTGTATTCATTGCTATATAGGGTTCCATCCAAGGAGATTGTTCGAAACCTAAAACTCTGTATACTTTTTCTAGAACATACCCCTCTCTTATACACTGCTGTAGATTTCTATAATGAATAACGTAATGGTCTTTATCATGTAGAGTTACTATAAGTTTTTCTGTATCGGGACGTTGTTTTCCTATCCATTCTTTTTGCTTTGATCCTTACCAATCATATGGTACTTTCATTTGTTCTGGACACATTGGATAGTCTCGAAATTTGGGATGCAATTCTTTTGGAATCGATAACTTTACTTCTAAACAACATCCTCGATTTGATTTTTCTTTTATCGTTAAAATTTTCTGCACTAAAGGTGAAGATGGCTCGACAGGTATTGATGTTTTAGAATGAGAAAAAAAGATAAAAGTAAGTATTTGTTTTTTGAAATGAATCGCCACTTTTTTCAAAATCATTATGATTAATAATCCATTTGATAATCTAGCGATTTTGTCAGTCAAACAACTTTTATTAAATTCATTTGTTAATTTGTTAATTAACTAGAAGAATGCTTTATGACAAGTGACAAAATCACTTGAATTTATTTTAATTAGAAAAAAAGGAATTTTTTAATTATTTTTATTATTATTGGAGAAAAATAATTTTGATTTATTGCTATATTTGTAAAGGAATGGTAGCCTTTTCTTCTAATCTTTTATATTCTTCAATCATGGATTTGTCAGTAATAAAAGCATCTTTATTCAAGGAAATTATTTGAACATTTTTCCAAGTGGTACACCTACTAAGAGCAACATATGCTTGCCCAGGAGAAAATATCTGTGAGTCTAAAACAATTGAAGTTGATGGTAGAGTTAAACCTTGTGTTTTGTGAACAGTCAGTGAAAAGGCATTTTGCAAGGGGAATTGAGTTCTTGAAGCATATGATCCAATCAAATAAAAATTTGTTGTGATTTTTGACAATTCAATGTCCACCATTCCAGAATTCACACAAAAAACAATCCTAACAGAATTTTGCAATATATTTAAATCTACAACTACTCCAATTGTTCCATTGCAAATTCCTTTATCCATTAAACTATTGTTGAGATACATGATTTATTGCTATATTTGTAAAGGAATGGTAGCCTTTTCTTCTAATCTTTTATATTCTTCAATCATGGATTTGTCAGTAATAAAAGCATCTTTATTCAAGGAAATTATTTGAACATTTTTCCAAGTGGTACACCTACTAAGAGCAACATATGCTTGCCCAGGAGAAAATATCTGTGAGTCTAAAACAATTGAAGTTGATGGTAGAGTTAAACCTTGTGTTTTGTGAACAGTCAGTGAAAAGGCATTTTGCAAGGGGAATTGAGTTCTTGAAGCATATGATCCAATCAAATAAAAATTTGTTGTGATTTTTGACAATTCAATGTCCACCATTCCAGAATTCACACAAAAAACAATCCTAACAGAATTTTGCAATATATTTAAATCTACAACTACTCCAATTGTTCCATTGCAAATTCCTTTATCCATTAAACTATTGTTGAGATACATGACACGAGCCCCTTGTTGTAATCTGAGAGAGGCTGGTAAGTTTGTTTTGTTTCTGAATAATTTACTAGTGTCTGTTAAATCCATTTGTTTACCATCAATAGTATCAATTGCATCACATATCCAAAATTTATCATTTTCAACTGGTAGCATGTTACAGATCATTCTGTTAAATCTTGCTGCAGTTTCTCTATAACCAACAATGTAAGTAGTATTAAGTGTTTCCTCTAGTGTTTTTTGTTGATGAGATTCATTAAATTTTTGAAGCAAAAAGTTATGAGTTTTCTGAGTAATATTCCCAAAACGAATATCTTCCAGAGCTTTGTAATAGAGAAAATCTTGATTTTGCCTTTGAGGTTGGCGTAGGAATAATGGATAGAATAGCTTCCAAACTGAAGATTTATATACAGGCAAACCTGAGGCAGGTGGCAGTTGGGCTAAATCACCAACTGCAATAACACTTAACCCACCAAAAGCAATTGTGTTTTCATGTATTTTAGCAAACATTTCAGAAATAAAAGTAAACAGCAATGCAGACACCATTGAAATTTCTTCAATAATTAATATATCAATTTTTTGAAGTTGTTTGAAAAATTGTGTATCAGAAAATGCTAATGTTTTGTATCCACTATTACTTTCCTGGATTCTTAAAGTGGAATGGATTGTTTGTCCTCCAATGTTTTGAGCTGCAATTCCTGTAGGAGCCATTAATAAGAATTTTTTTCTTTTTGAGATCAGATCATTAACAATAAGTCTGGTCACATAAGATTTTCCTGTTCCAGCTGAACCAGTTATGAAAAAAAATGGATATTTTTTTGTGTCATTTAGAGGCCCTAAAAGATTCTTTATTATTGAAAATACATGCAATTGATCATCAGGAAGATCTATAATGGTATTTTGTGGATTTATCATTGGAGAAATCTTCAAGCTATTCAATTGTATTTGTAAGAGCTGAGAAATATTGTCACATAACAGGTCTTGAAGATTATTCAAAATGTTTTCCATGATTTCAGAAAATTTGGCATTAATTAATTGTTCTTGGTTTCTAATATAATTGGCAGTATTTTGTTGTAACTGATTATGTATTTCTGGATATAAAAATAAAAAATGTTGTTTATATGTAGCATAATTTCCAAGTATCTCTTCCTCGGATCTACATGGGAGATTTTTTAAAATTTGTTGGTAGAAATATTGTTCACCATCTTGGAATTTTAAATAGTGAAATCTTACTAGTTTTTTTGTTGTTCTTTTTACTACATAGTTTCCTAATAGATCGACATATACAGGGTAATTTTTTGCATCAGGTCTACTTTTTATTATGTTATACTGCTCAAAATAACTTGGATAAGTTAGTTCATTGAATTCTTCATGATTAGGCCTTGCAAAATATTTTTCAATGTGGTCATTCCAATATGGTGATTCTTCATCATTTAAAAGATAATTAATAGGTTTGATGGCTTTATTTCGCATTGTTGGTGGATCAGTTGTTAAAAATTCAACACTATTGGATGAATCACATATTGTTTTGCCTAAAAGCAAAAACATTAGTTCCATTGAACCTAATCTCCGTGCTTGAACATGTTCACGATATTTGTCTCCTTCTCTAATGTTGAAAATATGTGATGGTTCAGATTTAGTTACATATTTATTTAAATATCTTGCAAGGCCTCTTGTATTAACATATTGTATATTTATATGAGCATTCCATATAATCAAGGTAGGAGCATGATAAGGAACAACCCATCTATCTTTAGAGCTTCTACAGTAATAGATGTATTTCTTTAATTCATTGTTTTCATGTGTCATTGGAGAAAAGGGCCTTGGAAACCCTTTTTTACATGTTTGCCCTGGTGCTGCTGGACCTCCACATTTGGGGCTACAAGTATGTATTTGATGTCTTGAGACATACTCATATAATTCAGGCTCAATATCTGGATCAGGGAGGTCAGACCTTATTATATTTTCTGTTATCATTTTTTCAATAGTCTTAGTAACCCAGTAAACACCATGTGTGTGAGCTGCACCACGATTTTGAAATTCAACTCTTTCAAAAAAGTTATCAATGTTTCCCCAATTAGAATGTTGGGGCTTGCGCCATACATTTGCCTTGAGCTCTTGTAAATAATTAATAAAAAATAATGTGGTATGCAAAGGTCTATTTGTTGGGAGAGTATCTTTATTGTCAGTAGCAGCAAGTATTCTGTGAAGATGAGTCCAATGGCCTTCAGCCATTGTAAGTGTAATAAATAAGTTTGGAAGCCCAAAGTTATTTATCATTGCATTTACATGTAATTCTTTGTTATGAAAATAACTGTCACCTGTTCTAATAAAAGTAGGAATTGTGGTGGTAATAGATTCATCAATAATTGGCAATCCAGTATAAACACTTTGCTTAATTAACTGGGCAGCTGATGGTAGTCTGAACTTAGAATCAATTTGCTTTTGCTTTATTAATCGTTGAGTATTTTGATAGTTACGCATTTTCTCTAGACGTAAATATGACCAAGCAATCCAACGATGATTGATACGAAATCAATAGTCAATGTTTAGAAGTTTTTGCTTGATATACTTTCCCAGTGTTACTACATGGTCAGTATTTCTGTTATCTCCACTTGAATCACAAAAATATCCTTCGCCATCAGGAAATATATCAGGAAAAAGAAGTGGTTCAAGGTGTGGGTCATTAACTCTGATAGGAAGTAATGAGCTGTTAGGATCTCTTACAAAACCAGCCATTAAGCGAGAATAATGGCTATCTTCATTATGGATTTCTGATGGATAATCAGAGGCTGAAAGAACAATGTCACCTGGTAAGGATTTTGGAGCATCCTGATCTTCAGGAATATGACATGCTATTGGAAATGGATTATTCATAGAAGTCCCTGGAATAGTTAATAAACGTGAATAAGGTCTGATATAAGGATTGTTTTCTTTTAACCAATTGGCTGCATTTATCAATTCTTGATTGGTTTGAATTATATTTTCTCCAGTTTCATTACTATTTTCCAAGAATGCACCTTCCATTCCTGAATATAAAGAAAAACACCTTAAATTTTTAGAAAATCTAATATCTCCAGAAAGAATTCTATATTCAGTATAATTACTGTTATGAACATTTCTACCCAAGCTACTATGCATAAATACTGGTGACAAATATGATCTTTTTCCTAATGGTACTGATAAAATCTCATCAGGTATTGGGCACAATTTCTGGAATGAATATCTTGTTCTTGAACTTTTGCAGGAATTGCATACTGGTACTCTCAAAGGATCATTAGGATGAAATTTAATTATATTTCTATTATTGGGATATGCAGCAGAAAGAGGATAAACAATAGAATTATCATAAGGAATCCATTTACATTTCTTTGGATACATTAATTTGCCACAATAAACACATGGTATGCAAATATATTGATTTAAAAGTGTATTTTTAAAATTATCCATCAATTTCCTAAACTTATTGGTGATAATCCAATGTTCATTTTGAATATTAGATGTATTATGTAAAATATTTACAGTTTCTAAAGAATTAGCTATATCCAAATTTTGGGTATTAAAGCCTTGTGCATCTTGACATAAATTTTGAATAATGGTATTTGGTCTGTTCTGTTCTGGAATTTCACTTGAAGAATTGACATCAAATATATATTGCTGAAAAACATGGAAAGACATTTTTATTCAATCAATCAGATGTTTTAAAATATATTTCTAGAGCCTTAGAAATATTTATGATATGTGATTGATAGTAAAATTTTAGAGCCTTAGAAATATTTATGATATGTGATTGATGGTAAAATTTTAAATATTTATAACAATATGTTACATGATTGTTGATATTTTGTCAAAATATAATATATCTTTATATGTTAATAAAATAAATACTCACAAAACAATGAAATATTTTATTTATAATATTTAAATATTTGTCAAAATACAATATATCTTTATATGTTAATAAAATAAATACTCACGAAACAATGAAATATTTTATTTATAATATTTAAATATTTGTCAAAATATAATATATCTTTATATTTTAATAAAATAAATACTCACAAAACAATGAAATATTTTATTTATAATATTTAAATATTTGCCAAAATATAATATAATAATAAAATAAGATACAAAATAATGAAATATTTATTAAATATTTAAATATGTTAATAATAATAAATTGTTAATATTTTGTCAAAATATAATATATATTTATTATATACTAATTATATATTAATGAATGTTTATATATTAATGAATGTGAAATATATTAATGAATATGAAATATATTAATGAGTGTGAAATATGTAACTAAATCTGAACCATCACATATTTTCAACATTAGAGAAGGAGACAAATATCGTGAACATGTTCAAGCACGGAGATTAGGTTCAATGGAACTAATGTTTTTGCTTTTAGGCAAAACAATATGTGATTCATCCAATAGTGTTGAATTTTTAACAACTGATCCACCAACAATGCGAAATAAAGCCATCAAACCTATTAATTATCTTTTAAATGATGAAGAATCACCATATTGGAATGACCACATTGAAAAATATTTTGCAAGGCCTAATCATGAAGAATTCAATGAACTAACTTATCCAAGTTATTTTGAGCAGTATAACATAATAAAAAGTAGACCTGATGCAAAAAATTACCCTGTATATGTCGATCTATTAGGAAACTATGTAGTAAAAAGAACAACAAAAAAACTAGTAAGATTTCACTATTTAAAATTCCAAGATGGTGAACAATATTTCTACCAACAAATTTTAAAAAATCTCCCATGTAGATCCGAGGAAGAGATACTTGGAAATTATGCTACATATAAACAACATTTTTTATTTTTATATCCAGAAATACATAATCAGTTACAACAAAATACTGCCAATTATATTAGAAACCAAGAACAATTAATTAATGCCAAATTTTCTGAAATCATGGAAAACATTTTGAATAATCTTCAAGACCTGTTATGTGACAATATTTCTCAGCTCTTACAAATACAATTGAATAGCTTGAAGATTTCTCCAATGATAAATCCACAAAATACCATTATAGATCTTCCTGATGATCAATTGCATGTATTTTCAATAATAAAGAATCTTTTAGGGCCTCTAAATGACACAAAAAAATATCCATTTTTTTTCATAACTGGTTCAGCTGGAACAGGAAAATCTTATGTGACCAGACTTATTGTTAATGATCTGATCTCAAAAAGAAAAAAATTCTTATTAATGGCTCCTACAGGAATTGCAGCTCAAAACATTGGAGGACAAACAATCCATTCCACTTTAAGAATCCAGGAAAGTAATAGTGGATACAAAACATTAGCATTTTCTGATACACAATTTTTCAAACAACTTCAAAAAATTGATATATTAATTATTGAAGAAATTTCAATGGTGTCTGCATTGCTGTTTACTTTTATTTCTGAAATGTTTGCTAAAATACATGAAAACACAATTGCTTTTGGTGGGTTAAGTGTTATTGCAGTTGGTGATTTAGCCCAACTGCCACCTGCCTCAGGTTTGCCTGTATATAAATCTTCAGTTTGGAAGCTATTCTATCCATTATTCCTACGCCAACCTCAAAGGCAAAATCAAGATTTTCTCTATTACAAAGCTCTGGAAGATATTCGTTTTGGGAATATTACTCAGAAAACTCATAACTTTTTGCTTCAAAAATTTAATGAATCTCATCAACAAAAAACACTAGAGGAAACACTTAATACTACTTACATTGTTGGTTATAGAGAAACTGCAGCAAGATTTAACAGAATGATCTGTAACATGCTACCAGTTGAAAATGATAAATTTTGGATATGTGATGCAATTGATACTATTGATGGTAAACAAATGGATTTAACAGACACTAGTAAATTATTCAGAAACAAAACAAACTTACCAGCCTCTCTCAGATTACAACAAGGGGCTCGTGTCATGTATCTCAACAATAGTTTAATGGATAAAGGAATTTGCAATGGAACAATTGGAGTAGTTGTAGATTTAAATATATTGCAAAATTCTGTTAGGATTGTTTTTTGTGTGAATTCTGGAATGGTGGACATTGAATTGTCAAAAATCACAACAAATTTTTATTTGATTGGATCATATGCTTCAAGAACTCAATTCCCCTTGCAAAATGCCTTTTCACTGACTGTTCACAAAACACAAGGTTTAACTCTACCATCAACTTCAATTGTTTTAGACTCACAGATATTTTCTCCTGGGCAAGCATATGTTGCTCTTAGTAGGTGTACCACTTGGAAAAATGTTCAAATAATTTCCTTGAATAAAGATGCTTTTATTACTGACAAATCCATGATTGAAGAATATAAAAGATTAGAAGAAAAGGCTACCATTCCTTTACAAATATAGCAATAAATCAAAATTATTTTTCTCCAATAATAATAAAAATAATTAAAAAATTCCTTTTTTTCTAATTAAAATAAATTCAAGTGATTTTGTCACTTGTCATAAAGCATTCTTCTAGTTAATTAACAAATTAACAAATGAATTTAATAAAAGTTGTTTGACTGACAAAATCGCTAGATTATCAAATGGATTATTAATCATAATGATTTTGAAAAAAGTGGCGATTCATTTCAAAAAACAAATACTTACTTTTATCTTTTTTTCTCATTCTAAAACATATAAATAATCCTCGACATCTGCATTTGCCGTGTGCGCTGAAATCTTACCTATTCTTATGAGTTGATGACAAATATCGGGAACCCCGGCTTGTTGTTTTGCCCTTTAAGAAAGAATAATGGAATAAGTTGATGCCAAAGAATTTGAAATGTATAATTATTTCATACCAAGGTAAGTTTGTCTTCACGTTTTTGGCCCAATCACCGATTGCTTCACCATTCTGAAAAATAAATAATGTATTCATATTCCTATAATTTATCGCTCCATTTGTGACTAGATTTGCGATTATAGTTGCTTGTGTCTGCCCCATGACACCATTACGACAATTTGGTACCATTGTATCATTGAATCCTGCATTATTCCAGATAAATATGAGTGCCGGCATTTCGTTGTTTTCTTTATCTTTTAGATATTTTAAAATGAGATTGACAACATCTGGATTCGTGGCAATCTCTTCAGGAACTAGTATGAAAATATATATTAATTAATAAATAATTCATAAACATATCAACGTCAGGGAAAGGAAATAATTTAATTGCTACTACCTTTTCTATTGAAACTTTTTTCAAGTTCTTGAAGTTTTTTTTCTTGAACTATATATTATCAATATACGGATATAAAAAAAAGGTCATAAAACTTTGTTGAGAAAAAAAACAGACGAATACCTTTATTACGAATAAATTTTAACATTATAGAATCTGGTGAGAAAAAAAAAATATTAAAAATATTGTATATTGATATATTGATATCGTGTATCACAGAAGGTCATAGAAATTATGATAAATCAATGATCAAAGCTCTCTATAACGAATCTCGTTGTAGAGAGCTGTAACAAGTAGTTTATTTTATTATCATTCGTAACATTAATTTATTTCGTGACAATTAATTCGCGTTCATTTCAATATTAATTTAATTATTTACTATATATTATTATTTATATTATCAATCTATGTAATCATTACATAAAGGACATTTCGCTAGGTTAATAAAGAATAACTTGTGTCTAAGGACATTCCTGACCGATTGGGATTAAAAATCGATAAAAGTGTGAAGCACGGTAGCCACTGTTCTGACAAAATCTATTTGGAATGGTTTATAATGTGCCATTAAACCTAGCTCCATGTTGTGTATTTTATTTAGACTTTGTAGTTATTGAATACCCAAAGTCTATATTGATATTAAGTAATTCCTTCCTCTATCATCCATCACAAATATCAAAATGA